CGAGGGGTTGGTGGTGCCCCGGAGGCCCGGCTCCCTGCCGGAGCCCCCTGCCTGCACAGGAGCTCGGCGGGTGCCCCCCGTCCCGACAACCACCACCGCCCCGGTGAGCACAGGGACCCCGTTCCCCAAGCAGCACCCAGCCACAGCGCGAGGAAAAAGGTTTTCCAGGGAGGAACGGCAGCACCCTATCACCCCAGCTCCCCTTCAGCCTGGTGGTCCGTGCTTCCCAGCAGGAAAAGAAACCCAGACCCCACCAGCAGCCCTCGCTGCCTGCGGCTCTGCCCGACGGGAGCCCGCTGCGCCCTGCTCACGAGAGACGCGCGCTCGTTAGCCGGAGGCAAGCAGCCAGACTCTTTCCTAAGCAGCCAGAACCGGGTGGCACGCACACGTCTAGCCCAAGCGCGTCTGTCAGCAGCGACGCTGCTAGACTTGATCCTGCGTCGAGGCAGAAAGGACGGGCGAGGTGGTCTGTCGGCCGCTGGTTTGTGGGTCCGCACACCCAGGCGGTCCCCAAGCCCCTCTTCACCCCCAGAACAGAGGGAAAGATGCAAACGCCATCCCAATTAAGAAGCAAGTGAAGCTGTGGGGCAGCAAACCAGTCTGAGTTTTGAGGTCCCTGCGGAAAACTGCATTTGAAGGCCGCCCAGCACCAGGAAAGGCGACGTGCGGGTTGCTGTGGTCCATCGATGGCGCGGCTCGGGTTCTCGGGCCAAGCAGGCAGAACACAAAATACAAATATCTGCAGGGTGGGGGTCAGGAGGCCGGGGCCAGGCTCTTTCCAGTGGTGCCCAGCGACAGGACAAGGGGCAACGGGCACAAACTGAAGCCGAGGAAGCTCCAGCTGAACCCGAGGAAGAACTTCTTCCCTCTGAGGGTGACGGAGCCCTGGCCCAGGCTGCCCAGGGAGGCTGTGGAGTCTCCTTCTCTGTCCGCCCCCCCTGGCTGCGGTGCTGTGCCCCCTGCTCTGGGTGACCCTGCTTGGGCAGTGGGTTGGGCTGGGGGACCCACAGAGTACCCGAGCTGCACCCAGCCACCGCGGCCAAGGGCCCGCAGGTAATGGTGTGGAGTTTGTCACCCTCACCCACAAGGTCGGGCTCGAACCGTCTCCTTCTCGTGTCCTCCCAGCTGTTCCAGGCACCGGCAGCTTGGAGCAGAGACATCAAAGCAAGCTCCCTGATCAGCGAGGAGCAGACTTCGACAAAGGACAGAGAATAAGGCAAGCTGAGAAGCTTCTCCCCGACTCTTGCTCCATCCGGCAGCTGCGCACGCTTCTACTTTGGTCGCTTGTCCTCCCCTCGAGGGCCACGAGCCCGCCCCACGGCTGCAACCCCAGACGTAACCTCCCCGCCTTCCCCTCTCCTCGCCAGGCAGCTGCGGCAGCAGAA